ACCAAAAACAGCGGGCAATAATCTCGTATTTCAGTATTACTGACGTTGGCCATACGGAGTACCATTAAAAAATGCCAACATATCTATTTGTAGTTATTACTCCATTTTTTCCGATCCTGTCCATAAATTGTTAAATTCCGCCATCTGGTCGCAAAGAGACAATTGCAGTTTGCTCTAACAAACACACAGTTTATTAAAATTATATGACTGATGTGTTATGGTCAAGTTAACGGCGACGCGATACAGAATTTCTTGTCTTTTTTCCCTTTTTCTTTTAAACTATGATCTGTTGACTCATATTTATTTAATGAATGACGATGATGGCTTGCTCGAGTCTCGCTGATCGATGATGCATGTGCAAGTTAGGAGCCCTTTTTAGATCTCTCTTGGTTTAGCAGTTTCCAGGTGCCGGACATTATTTTCTCAATGAAGTGTAACATATCAATCTATTAGAGAGTTTTAGATTCACCTTTATGGAAAACGGCAACGTCAATTTGTAGCACATGACGAAGTTCTCTCTCTACTTGTCGTTTACTATTTATAATACAAAGAGTAGTAGCTAATTCATGCTAGATTCATGCATATGAAGTATTTCTGCTCATTTCTGAATATGAGAAATTGTCACCTTTAATTTATCGTATGGCGCATTAACCGTAAACGTGAATCTAAGGCTATGTTGACACTATACTGGAAAGCTTAAAACTTAAAAGCTATCCAGTGTGATATCAACATCTATCCGATGTAACTCTCCACTTTAGAGATCGGCGCTGCGCAGCTTCGCTCCGTTACAGAAATCGCGCCGAAATCACCGTTCTCTCGTGTGAACAGAAGCCCTATCCGATATAGTTTTCGTGCCGGCGCAAAAGCTACCCGGCATAGTGTCAACATTTTCTAAAACTCACTAATATTATCACGCTTTTTAAAAGTCGGTTCCAGCACCAGTTTTGAGGATCACCGAAGAAAAGAGAGTTCGACAGAGTTTCCAAACCAACACCTCAAAAATTTGAAAATAAAGGGTTAGACAGATAAGTTGTATTGGAATATACCGATGAAATGTCGGTCTTAAGGAAGAAAAGCCACTCGCCTTGGGAGGTTTTTTATCTGCACATGGATGGATTGTTTTCAATTAAGATAAAAGTCAGTTATAACGCGGAAATTTTCTTCATGCGTTATCGACTTATTCATGATTGGTTGCTTATTTTGTCGCTATTGCGGTTTTGGCTTTTTTTTCATGAGGTGGATTGAACAGTATGGTAAACTAACGTCATTTTTTATGCGTCTGTCCTGTTTCCGTTGATAAACTGCGCCATAAACTTTGACAATGTTACGACGAAATTTAACATCTTTAAGAAAACACCACACCCAAAGAAGTGACGTCATTTTAGAAACAAGAATCAAAGAGAGCAAAATTAATCTCATGTCAAAGGAAAAGATTACCCAAGCAAAATTCAAACAATTTATGAATTTCATATTCTACAAATGAGGTAATTGTTATTTTATAAGTAAGGTTATTGTCGTCAGCAACATTGGCAAAGATGCTTGAGATAGCGTTTCATCGATAACTAGGGTGAATCCCTTACGATCCTTTACCCTGAAGCTGTACAGCATGCTTTGCAGACGACGGGGAGCAAGTGCAAGGGAAACGTTTGAAAATCGCCTCCAAGGGCTTATGATTGGTATGTACTGTGATGTCTCCTTTGCTAAAAAGCAATTGATCGAACTCCTTAAAGGCATGGACGATAGTCAGGGTCTCTTTCTCAATCAATTTTATGCGTATTTCTGTTCTGTGGGTTCGCAGTAGAGAACTCAAACTGTAGGCAACAGTTTGTCACTCAATTTCAGAAATGTTAATTTCCACTCTTCTTTTCCCCCGCGTTTATTTACAGGTTACGAATTTTTATTACAGCAAGGGTTATGTTCTGATGCCCTTTTTACTGTCAGCCCACTTCAGCTATTAACAGCAAGGGGTTAAAGCAGTATGCCCAGCCTTTACCCATAGGAATAATTTTTATCGGGATCAAGCACTACTACAATGATGTGCCAGACAGAATGGCCTAATAGAAGGTGACGGCCGTACGTCCATGAATGATAGAGACATAGGAAAACAGAGAAAAAGTGTTTTTTTTTAGCAATGCGTTTATTGAAGTTAATTTCTACCATTTCTACCTGTTTCTATAAGCGTTTTAAAATCCATTGATTTTTGTCGGGCGTGAACTGGAACCAGGTTGTTTGATACTCATTGCACCAAGATATACCTCATGCCTCTAATATCTCTACCGCCATTGTCTGCGTGTTTTGAAATTTTTTCTTCTGGGCAATCTGAAGTGCGCTCAGGAACGACGACTACGTGTTGCGTGGTGAACGAGAACCTGGACCAGTCATGGGATCCGGGTAATCAATATTGCATGACAAAACATTGCTCTTCCTACCCTCAGATAGTCGACCATTTGCGCGTGAGCGGTGTTTGGAATTATCGAGTGGATGAGCGTATATAAAATGATCGCGTTCACCACGCAACACGGAGGCCGATCGAGGGTCCTGAGCGCACGTCAGATTGCCCAGAACCAAACACTTTCAAAAAAAATTCACACAAAACACAACGCAATGCCCATGACGAGGGGAAAAGATAAGAGACTGACCTGGCCTTAAGGACTTGGCGCTCTCATGACGGGTGACTCTCGTGCGCGGTTCTTTGATGCGGGAGAGATTTGTAAGCTGAGACTGCACACAGTCACCTGCCTTGCTTCGCTTTATGTAGGAAAACAACACCGAACAAACAACGAGCCGCAAAACAGTATAAAGTGGCCATGAATTGAGCCCAGGTTAAACAGAAAAATCAACAACAGAACCAAATTTCCGTAAATACAATTTATTCCTATATTTGTGGCTATATTTCTACGTTTGAACAACTATATTGAACTTCTTAAACAAAGTCTTTAAATCGTTCATAATATGCAAACCAGATCGACACTAGCGGTAATTTATGCACCGAGCTTAGCTGAGCTTGGGTCGCCTGTAGTTTAAAAAGGAAAAAACGGTGTACGAGACGTACATTTAGTGCCGCGCTGTATTCATTTTGAGTAGAAACCAACTAGCATACTATCTCGACCTCTGCAATGTGACTGGCTAACATACTCACTATGTATTGATACGTAGTGAGAAGAGTGCCGGTATTTTGAGCAAAAGCAAATAGAGATGGGCGTGGCCCAACTTCGTTCACAGAAATCGCGTCGAAATCACCGTTCTGACGTGTGAACAGAAGCCCTAGTGTCCGGTATGATTTTCGTGCCGGCGCAAAAGCTGTCCAGTACAGTGTGAACAGAGCCTAAGTTTCGATAAGATGGGAAAAGATTCCATAATCTGAACTAGCTATGAATTCTTTATTTATTATCCGTAGGCGTTAGTTTGATTCTGTCAACAGTTGTTTTAGATGTTATGGCTTATTTCCCAAAAAAGTTGAATTATTTATACTGTTGTCGTTAGTAGTGGTGTGCCAGCATTTTGGGCCTTTTTAAGTACCAGGTAAGTACCAGCCAAATTGTGGTTCATAAATAAAATGCGCGGGAAACTTTTTAATTTATCCTAAACATGTTCAGGCAAGAAATAGTAATGACGTCACGATAAGGAGGCCTGCCAACGTCTATGTGGCAGTTTAGCAAGCCCATTGTGTTTTGAACATAAAAGCCCCCGTGGCAGCTACTAGTAATGACGTCAGGACACAATAAGGAGGCCTGTCGACGTTTATTTGACAGTTTAGCAAGCCCACTGTGTTTTGAACATAAAAGCCCCCATGGCAAGTACTAGTAATGACGCCACTGCTTGATTCAATGAAAAGACTTCAATCAATAGCTCAGTACCATCAAATTCAGGACGAGACATTACATATGTTGCAGAGATACAGCTTTTAATGAAAACAAAAACAGTATAACATTTAAGAGCAGGTCTTAGAAAAAGTAGCGTTTGCAGTTAGGCTAAAGGAAGACGACGGCGAATTATTTTGCCCTTTGGGTGATTCCTGCTGAAAATTAATTCAAGCGCCTATTTTAGCTGCAATTTTTTTGCGTTTATGCAGTTGTTTTCATAGGGTGCATGTAAGCTGGTGCATGCAATGAAAATTTTAATCGCCTCAGCCAAGAGCCATATTTGTTATCATTTATTTATACTATTTTACATTTCTTATTTTTACATTTCAAATTGCTTTCCAATCACTACTTCAACGGTTTTTGTTTTCAACGTTCACTTTTTTCTCATTTAAATTTTCTCGTGTTTTTGTAGTATCAAATTGCACGCTATTCTTTAACTTTCAAATTGTAACGTCAAATTGTTAACCTCCTCATTATATGAAAACCCCGAAGAAGGAAGGCCGTGCCTTCCGAAATATTGGTAAAAATGTATATATTCCCGACTGTAAAATCAGCCTTGCTTCTTTTGTTTTATAGTTTCACGATAGCTTCGCACGATTTTCGTAGTAGTTTGCGTCGAAAAATTGGAGGAGCTTTAACAGCTACCAAGAGCCTTAAATCAATATCAAAAAGAAAAAAGTGCCTGCTATTTTTAGTTTTAAAATATCCACACGTATCCAGATATTTTTGAAAACGGAGATAAGTTTATCGGTTTTCAAAACAATACGCGTCCACTTGAAGTGTATTTGAATCGTTTTCTCACGACGATGAAATACGATAACATTCCTTACAGAGCATGCGTAAAGGTTAGGAGTATATGATGTTTGACATTATTGTATTCGAAAGCGTTTGCCGGGTTTTGAGAGTCCACATGTAAACGAGAACTTAACCGGCGTTTTCAAAAACCTCTACTCTAGGGACCGTTTTCGAAAACCTGCTTTTCATGGTGTGCGAAAACGCCGTTTACGTGTGGACGGACGTTTTAGCGGTAAAAGGGAGATAAAATCTCCTTTTTAAAAAATATCTGGATACTTGTGGACGGACTTGTGGAATAAATGCTGTCCAGGTGGAAGATATTCACTTTGTAATTGATTTGAGTCACTGCCCGACAGTGCCGTGGGCCTCTGGCTCCAGCAAGAAAAGATGGTGAGAAGGGTGTGCCACAGGGTAACCACAGAAAAAGGAGGAGACTGTGTTGGAGAAAACAATAACAAAAAATCAATATCAGTTTTAAGTTGATTGCAGTTAAGTCGTTAATAAAAACATGTTTAAGCTTTTAAGGGCCACTTGACATTAACAAACTACTGTACGTAAGATCCTGAATAAGTATGAACGTGATAAAATGTTCTTTTCAAGACGAACGTGCCTTCAAGTCGTTGTACTATTCTAAGCTATTAGCTTTGTGGTCCATGTTAATTAATGCTTCAAACACCATGCATAAATTATTATCCTTATTATGTTATTCTTTGCAGGAAGTGGTCAGAAATTCCAGGTGACAACCTACAGAACGAAGACTCGTGGAAGCGAAACGTGATTTAAAGATTTAAAATGATTTAAAATGGAAGGAACAGGTCGGGTAATGGACGTCGTACATCCAGCTTAGCTTAAAGCTAATTCTAGACAAAGAAATAGAAGCTTCTCACAGGCTTCCATTCTGGAGAAAATTATAGAGTTAGTGTGCGAAGCAATCGTGTTTGGAATTAGTTTCAGTTTCGAACGAAAGGTGGAGGAGGTCGCGCACATGCGTGACACGCGTGATAAAATCCGCCACGCATTGAGCTATTCGCGCTTTGTGAGCAGCGATCCTAGTAAAAACGCGAATGCTTTGCAGTCTGCCCATTGCTACGGTCCTGTAGTCTTAAATAGTCGTTTGGCAACTCCGGCAGTGTCAGTGCTATTTCACCAGCCTTTTCTAATTCCATGGTTTTAAGGGGTCTATCTGCAAGCGAAGTCTCTCAAATGTGAGGATGGGATGAGGAGACGGAATGGAAGAAAGGAAAGTTTAGAAATGAAACCCTCCCCCCTTCATTGCTACCAATAACTTGCTCGTGGCCTACAAATTCAGAGAGAGAGACGGACCTCTCCACCCCCAGGTGACGCCGCTGCGGCTCCCAGCGCCAAGGGTCAGCGAACAGGCAAATGGTGGACGAGTCAGTCGATGCTAAATCTCAGACTCTACTTACTGCTGTTTACTTAACTCTTCGGTACTGCTACCCTATTATTCTAGACACTTTTTTTGTTTATTTCGGACAACTCGTACTCTTCTTCTTGTTCTTCTTGTTCTTCTTATTATCCTTAATCATAATCATCATTATTGTCAGTATTACTTTTGTCAGGGGCCCGCTCCTGGTAATCTGTTGTAAAAAATACGTTCAGTACAAATGAAGCTGTTGTTGTTGTTATCAGTGAAAAAAAAAAAAACTCACCTTGTCCCACCCATCAATTTTTCCCTAAAACAGGTCTGCCTAGGCACAAACCTCTGCATCGCTTCTCCTTCTGAGGTGACAACAATCAGGAATTTAAATGGTCTGCAAGACATCATTAGCGCTATGAATTGCACGTGCGCGCCACGTGAAAGAGGCTGCAGGCGTTTGTCCGCTGAACATGTGCACTTCAGAGGGACTAAGTACGAAACAAGAATTGATGTTGGTCAGTGCATTATATTAGGAGATGTCGTGTGCATGGTGAGTCATGAATAATGTTGTTAGAGAGCTTTAGATTTGAGGACGAGGATGAAATTTATCTTGAAGTTTTTCTCGCGAGTATTCTCAAAAATTATACACCCCCAGAAAGCTTTATTATTTTACTCTCCCGCTGATACAGTCGACTGCCGATAACTCGAACCCCCACTAACTCAAACCAAAATCGATTTCAATACCAATTTCAAGACTGACTCACACGTATCAACTCCGCTGTAAGGCCAGTACCTTACGTATGTGCACAACTATATCACCCGGGCAGTGGCAGCCATGGACAGCTGTTTCGCTCTTACTGGGTCTCATCAACATAGCATAGCCGTCGAGTCAATGGACGGGCGATACCGTGTCTCATAGAGAAATAAGCAATAAAGCTTTAAATATTGCAAGTAGAAGTGAATTAGGACGATTGCGAGGATATACTATCGTTAAACAAGCCTTTCGTACCTCGCTAGAACTTCACTAATATATCAGGGGCGGATCCAGGATTTTTTTTAGGAGAGGGTACACTCGTCTCTTGCTCTACTTCAACACCGATAAACCACATAGTTTTTTTTTTTGCAGAATACCAGTTGTATTAGAAAACCCCAGGTCATCTCAGGAGGGGGGGGGTGCACACCCCCTGCACCCTCCCCTAGATCCGCCCCTGTATATAGATTTAGCCACGGCTAAAAGCGAAGCTCCCATTGAAAAGTTAAGTGATTTTGGAGTGAAACAAATCTTGTATCGAGTTGATATAGCCTTATATGTAAACCCAAAAAGGTGTACGGTCAAATTTAAGTGCAATAATGGCTCTTGATCACAGTAGATAAGGCGTGGAAAACAAATTAGGCCGAATTTTTTGCGATCGACAAGTTTACAAATTCGTGCCAATAAATCTGGGTGCGTGCAAACCAATCTTTTATTTTTTTTTAATACACCACATCTGAGGAGAAAGAGTACTATGAGGCGCTGTTTTTATCATACAGACCTCGTACAAAATGCAGTATTCCACAATTTTTCAAGACAAATTGCATTTATTCAATGTCACGCGTGGACTTTTAATTAGCAAAACCGTTCAAAAAATTTCCAAAATCACCTATACGGCCAGCCCGTTCTAACTTTTGACAAGCGCTAAATTTGCGAAGAAATTTTAAAAGAGTTACGCTTCAACGTCATAAAGAATTTATTGAGTCTATTTTTTATTCATGGTTTTATAACGATGTGTAACCTTAAAAAGCGTTTGATACGCTCGGCTTTTTGAGTACTCCAGCAAGCGATGTTTATGAACGGCTGAAAACAAACGGCAAAGCGATGAAAATTACTCTTTTGAGACTACCAACAATCAATAAAGAAATATAATTCGGTAGAACATTTACAGAGACAACAATTTTCATTCACGAAAACAAATGAGTATTTAAGTGTCTCTAAGAATGCTCAAGTCTTTACTAGTAAGCTTAAAGATCAAGTTTATGTTTTAAGCCGCCGGTTTCCCGGGCCTGTTTGCTGTTTTCAAAGATGAACTCAGGACAAGAAAATCGCTCAAAGCTTTCTTTCTACAGCCAAAATTATAACTAAATATTCTTTGGAAAGTATTTTCTTTCTATTTACAGTGAATTAATATCGACTAAAGGCTTTTTAAAGTTCTGTAAGCTTAAGCTTATATCAAACCTCATACTAGGTCAGATCAGTGTCTCAGTCAAATCTTAATACAAACGTGCATAAACTAGCTTCATAAACTGCGCCGCTCGACTTCATGAAATTAGATATAAATACAATAATTACTCAGGCTTACCATATTTCGAGATGCAGCTCCTGAAAGCTATCAAGTAAGGCAAGGATCGCTTCAGCCTTTATAATTCTCGCACGCATCCAGCAAGGTGAAAAACAAAAACGATGCCATCCGAAATGGGATTTTCGGCTTTGACAAGCGACGCATTTCTCAACGAAAAACCTAATAAACAAACCAGCCATGAACAAGAGAACACTCTTGATAGCAGCTGTATTTCATTTTGTACATCCAGTGGAAAAACACAGTTAAAAACATCACAAGTTGACTCAAAACTCTGTCAGCTTCAGCTGTCAAAGTAAACAACTTTCAAGATGTTGCATAAATTTTACGCATGAACTCACCTGTCAAATTTTAACCAATCAGAGCATAAAAATTAGACGTGGAGCGTGACCAACACGTGACCATGGTAAGAAAAGGTCTTCCCCGCCTGTATTTTAAAAAAAACTGGCTGAATTTTTGCGTCTGAGGTCAGTTTGAAATCAAAATCGTAATAGTGCGGGGCGATACTGACATAAACACAACATATTTGATATGAATTTTAAAAAAAGTAAACGTGAGACTGTAATCATTTGAAAACGAATAAATTGTCAGCGGATAACTTCAAAAAAATACTCGCCCTTGATGGGTCGACACCTGAGCCCGCGATACGGGCTGGTGATACTGGTCAGCGGATACCCTGTTTTGAGAGCTGTCAATTGATGACAGCATTGATGTGCAATCAGCTTCCTCGTGGGCTCCCAAAGTAGCTAGAAAGTGTGAGAGTAAACATTGGTATGCCTGTGGTGCGGACGGACGGTCGCTCGGTCGGTCGGTCACGTGATTACCAAATTTTCTGGGATGGGTAGCCTGAAATTCATCCGATTGCTTCGAGTCGTTTTCTCCTCTCAACAACGTCTGAATCGACGGGCCGTTAATGCCGTCCAGTGACGTCACTCACTACCCGAAAACCGGGTAGTGATTTTGATTGGTTGATTGTCTTAAAATTCGCATAATTATGTATAATTATCAAGCGACAATCCCGCTAAAATTTTTCATATTCAGCGGATCGCATCCCTGGCATTCTTTCGTTTAGTTCAAACATTTCGATAAGCTTAATCTTTACCTTAAACAGCAAAATTGCCCTTGTCTTCGAAACTGAAATGCTAAATTGAACTGCGAATGAAGAATCATTACGGGGAGTCGGTAGGTTTTTTATTTAGAGCCGCTTTGTGGTTTCGGCGGCCGGTAATTTTGTTTACGCGAAGTTTTCTGAGATCAATGTTATAATTCGACCTTCTTGCTATTTTTGCCGTTAAGGGTAATGATTCTGTTACCTTTTCTTTCTTGTCTCCTTGTCTTTTTTCTTCGTTAAGGACCAAATAGCTTCTTTTCGATTAAAGCAAATCATTGTGTTTTTGAACTAAGTGTTCCGTGTGTGTGTTTATTTCATTTGCGTACTCTTTGTCTTGGTAAATTGAAACTCCATTACAACCGGTTCAGAGATGTACTGCATGCAGTTGACAGTTTGAACGTTAAACATGAATTACAATAGAAAAAAATAAAGCAGTTCTGTATCATGCAGACATTTCCAAACGATATTTCGCGGTTTGCCACTTGAAAATCGTGTTTTAGTTTTTGCATGAATTAAAGCAAAGGTCAAGGAGCAATGACGTCACTGGACGGCATTAACGGCCGGTCGATTCAGACGTTACTGAGGGAGTAATAACGACTCGAAGTAATCGGATGAAATTCAGGCTATGGGATGGGTAGATTACCTTAGCTATGGGGCTCCGCCCACGCGTGTGCTTCGCGCTCGCTCGGAGCTCCGCTATAATGGTAAAAATAGCTTTTACCATAATCTTATCAAAATATCTGAATATTTTAACCTGCCCGATTTTGATCCTAATAATTTAAGTGAAGCTAAGATCAAACATTATATAAATAAAGTAAAACAAAAAATATTTCATATTGGCAACATACAATCATTCTAAGAAACTACAATTTTACAGCATATTTAAACATGATTATAAAATTTCAAGTTATCTAGACTTAACCAGGAATTCAACCAAAAGGAAAGACTTAGTGTAAATTCGTATAAATAACCACAAACTCGTGATTGAAACTGGAAGATATAATCAAACTCCCCACAACGATAGATTTTGCCCTTTTTGTAACTCTGGTATAATTGAAGACGAATTTCATTTTCTCTTGCATTGTCCGAAGTATTCAATCCCAAGGGAAAAATTCTACAATCAAATCCAACATAATTTTGTTGATTTTAATCAGCTATCTTGCACAGAATTAATAATTAAACTGATGAAATCACAGAATTTTTCTGTAAATTCACATTTGTTAAAATGTATTTCATTATGTAATGATTTACGTATTAATAATTTGTTATCAAATCATACTGATGATACTTGATTGACCATTTTAATCATTTTTGCATTGTATTATCATTAGTGTAAATTGTAACTTTATCTTAAAGCTTTTGCAATACTGTAAATATATAGTAATGCAAATAAAGCTTATGTTGTTGTTGCATTACATTTAATCGAAAAAGCCCTCACTCAAATCACCTTGGCATCTTCAAGTACGAAACTCAACATGCACCGCGGCGCTCTTTTGAAATTTCCGATTTTTCTTTACAATTTGGTTTGCGCGAACTTTACTGACTGAAGTTTAATACGCAGCCTTGCAGACTCAATTAATGGGAGTATCACGTACGTACTCTACGATAAATAAAATTTAAAGTTGTTTATGGAGATACTTTATTATCACTTTCATCACACTTATTTAAATACCATACTGCTAAGAAGAAATGAAAGTTCAAACCTTGTTTTGTTTTGAACTTTCATTTCTTCTAAAGACTGGTTTTAAACTTATATCAATATGCTTCAAGCTTACATCAGCAATGATAAATCAACATATTAAAAGGTCTGATTAGCAAAAATTAATAAGCGCTGCTATATTGCTTGGAAATGCGGCACTCTCGCTTGAATGGGTTGAATGCAGAAGAAAAACATGATTATTCGAAAGAGTGCCGGGGTTTTATATATTTTTGTTCTTCTCCGATCCTGCGACTCCTACTTGAGGTCGGCGCCCTTTCGATTAAATGCACTAAAACATTGAATTTTCGAAAGAGCGCCGCGGCGCTTATTGCTTTTCGATTTAAAAGATGTCAAGGAGAATTCGGGTGGCGCTGTTTTGATTA